CTGATGTTTTTTTTCCTGTTGCTGTAATTCACATCAGTAATTTTCATAGGATTTGTTTTATTCTTCAATCCTCTACCCCATTCTGCCGGTCTGCTGGTACAAGACGACTTTTCGTATTTTGCGATATAAAGCAGTAATGCAGTTACATGGCTACACCTTCCTAAGGTGGACGACTTGCACTCACAAGTAGCTTCTTTTACAAAATCAGAGTTGGGAGATACAGCAATTGTAACTAAATAGCTTACACTTCTCATGCTGGCCTGCACTTTTGCCTTTACATAAAATGTCGCATTTGTTTGTACTGCATATACTTGTAACACATGGCCACTTCTGTAAAACTGTTCCCCTCTTCTAAGGGGTTTAGCTGTATGGCAATCAAGTTCATCTTCAGAGTCATTATTTATGTTATTACCCTGGCTGGCTGGATGACTTTCAACTATATAATAAAATATACCATATGACCATCTGTTATTATAGGCATATTGTCTTCTAGTTCACACAGAGGCTTCCATCCATTAATTGGTAAAATAGTACTAACACTAACGGTAGCACAGGAGCGTGCCTCAGCTTCTTTCCTCTTTAACCAATACCCATCATCTATCCCAGGATCAATAAGCTGTGAAGCACCACAGTCTATGCAATTCTGACACCTGTAAATACATTTAAAAACACCACATTATTATATTATAGTAACTGTAGTTAACCCATATTTGTTTTACCTAACATTGATAAAAACATTGTGTTAACAGTTGGGTAAATAGAAATTTTCTTTGCTAAAGGGACAGACTGTTTTTGTTTTCCAGAGTAGACAGTGTTATAAAAAATGTTTCCTAGTTGTTTTTCACACGTATTCAACAGGGTGTCAATATGATAATATACAGTACATTAGTAGTAGGAAGTAAACATGGTCGTGATCACAGAAAAATACTGTGACCGTGTTTATTTTTACTTGGTACATGACTTTTATAATAAACAGATAAAACAGAAATCCCGACACATATGCCATGAATATGTGTGTACAAACGAACGTAGACCATATCCAGAAACAGTTGTGTTATGGTGACCGTTCACAGCCGGCTGTCACTCTTCCGGTCATGCCAGGAAACATTAAGTCTGGTTTCCGAGGGAAAACATGGCAATTTTAGGTTTTTCAAACAACTAACAGCACATTTTTTTTAATTTTTATATGAATGGGGTACAATTATTCTGTAAAATACGATTTCTGGTACACACGATAGGCAAATCGAAATCCCGGAAGTAAATTTCAGCGTACAGATAAATGCAACATCGAACTCACCTTTGTATCAGAATACTCTTTTTTCCACTCATTTTGAGTCCTTGACATTTCAGTCATCTCTTCAGTTGTTCCACAGAATGTTTTTCGACTAAAGAATATAAAAAAATTGCGCTCGGAACATCGTCCTCGGTCAAAGACATCTTGTTCGTATTCGCTGCCATTTCTATCTGTGCGTACACTTGTTTGTCCGCAACTACGATCAGTGACGTATCATGAATATTAATGAGGTATTGATGACGTATCTCAGTTCAATGCTATTTGCTACAATAACAAGTCAAATGTTTTTTACCCAATTACGCAAATGTTAATTAAAACACGTTGCTTTTCTAGAGTAGCATGAAACCTCCATTATGCCTTGTTATTTTGGGGATGGAATTGATTTTCAAAAAATTTTAGCTTTCAATTTAAAAAAGTTACCTATCGTCAGAAGTATTTACTAACTTCCAACAAAGAGGTGCTAATTTTACAAAATTGACTAGTAATACTAGTATTGTTTATAAGCCACTACCACATTGTGCGACTACATGTATGTCTATTGTTGATAAATTATAATCCATGACCGGCAGGATGTGTGCCAGTCTCGACATAATTATAATAACGATCAGACAATTTCCTGGTTGGGAGCGTTTCTGTGGTGGTTGCTAATTTTGAGTGCCGGTCGGGCTGACTAGTTCGGCGGAATGCCTGGCACGTACATCTTAACACAAATCCATAAATACATTGCCAGGACCAATCAGAATTAAACAAAATCAAAGAAAGCTTAGAAAGAACTCTCGTGTGCTGAGAGTATTGAATACACATTAAAAATTAATTCAAAATCACTTGTACATGAGATATTGATGGAAAAGCTGAAAACTAATTATGTAAATCAGGTAACTAATATGAACAGAACAGAACAAAAAAATTATGAATTATTATGCTATTTAGAGATTTAATATTAATCAAAATTAATCAGGCCTGTCTATTGTCCTAGAGCATTTATGTACCAAATTTTATTCAAATGTGATGATCAGTAATTGAGATATCAGT